ACTCTTTTTGCTTCAGCTTCTGCACTTCTCGTATGAGAATCCGTGCACGCTTCTAAATGCGCTCCTCGAGGGTTGAGCGGGTCCGTTTGACTTGGATCCATTCATTCGCTGTTGGTTTGGAGGAGAGGGCATCTGTTTGCCACTGGAGCACTCGGTTCTTTCTGAGTTTCAGATCAGCCTCATAGCAGATCCCGTCAACAGGCTCCAAAGCCCTAGCAAGTCGGCACGCAAGTCGTTGGCGCTGCCTTTGGCGTGCCCTCTTTGATAGGGTTGGCGTACCTTCTGCGATTGACTCTTTGACGGAGGAAGGGTCCAGATCTGTAGATCCGGGCTCATTGGAGGCCGGAGGGGCTTTGCAAGGCGAGATTGCAACGGCAACGCGGGCCTTGATCTTCCTACGCTTGCGAGGAGTAGAGGATCTAGAGGAGGACGACGACAAATATTCCTCGAACTTTAGTTGGTCGAATTCGTACTCGACCATTTATTCAACCGGGATCTGGATCCTTGGCTGCGGCACAATAGCTTCAGTAGTGAAGCTGTTGGCTCTCACTGTGGTCACCAGCTTGTTTGGTTCAAAAATCATTATTTTCATTGTGATTGAATCTATTACAACTTTAATCGTTTACAATAAACTCAAATAAAAAAAGTTGACCTTTTTATAAGATCTCCTTATATAATGAAAATACAAAAGATACAACTCTTGTCAAACAGCGCAACAGACGTTTATCACCCGCTGCTTGCGTGGAAACTTTGCCTGTGTTGGGGATGTTAATATCTGTGGACCACCGCGGATCAGATCCGGTTAACATATTAAGTTGATTAAAGCTCTTACTTCACGAAGGAAGTAATCGCTGCAGCGATGATCTCGACCAAGCGAGATCACGGCTCTTCTCGAGATTTAAGACCAAGCTTAAATCCGGAGGAATAGAGGACGAGCCTCGGATCTCTCGAACTCCACTCTTTATGTACAGGAGATCGCCAAAATCTGCTAACCCTTGCTATAAATTCGTGGCTCCACTCTCCAATTCGGCAACGTTTCGTCCTCTTGATCTCCTCTCTGAGAAATGAGCACCCGAGCTCATATTTATAAGCTTCGGAAGTAGGTATTTGGATCAGAACGAGGGATTCCTCCTTATCTTTGGTTAAGAACTGATTAACATATAACATAAACTCAAAACAACGAAATCAGAGAAATCCGTAAACCGAAAAAAAAAGAATCAACTGCTGAACGTCACCCGTGGTCCTCGCCTGCCGGGCCACCAAATGGTGGCTCGGCCATGGCCGAGCACCAAATGGTGACCTGGTTATAGGCCGAACCTCTGGTTCGACTGAGTCGTTTTGATGTGACTCGGCTGCCAGCGGCTTTTATTAGTTTTTCGGGTTTTGACTTGTTCCGTCGTTACGCGTATTTCGTCGTTTCGTTGACTTGTACGTTTTCCCGATTTGTTTCGCGAACGCATGGATAGCTTGACGGTGACCGACAGGTGTGTAGGCCTCTTGGTTCGTTGTTTAGCTGGCCGATGGGCGTGCGGGCCATTTGGTTCGCTGATTTGGTGATTGATGAGCGTGCGGGCCACTTGGTGGTGGACGGTGAGTACGCGGGCCACTTAGAGGTGGCCGATGAGCGCACAGGCCATTCGGTTTGTCGTTTCGCTTTATGTGTTCGTCGGTGTCGGATAATCTCCTTAGACTTAGATAATGGCGTTCATCACCTTCTCTCTGTCTCGAACTGTGTGTGGATACCTATAGGTATTTTTAGACACCTACACCCACCTTTTGGTAATTCCGCGACCAAAGGGTGCTCGCACGGTGACTCGTATCAGACGGTGAAGAAGTGTGGGCTGGCGGCTACGTCAGGACCTACTTTACATGTGTTAGCTGGTGACTGGGGGAGATATTACTTCGGCATTAAACGAGAAGTGATTAGGAGCATGGCAGTGCCTACGTGGTCCGATGAGTCATGAAGGCTATTGGGGCTACAAACACGATGCGTCTACTATGCATTAAATGTAACGCTGACACGTTGTCAGTGGGAGAGGCTCAAGGCTGAAGTCATCTTCTAGCTTCGTCGAGAAGTAATGCCTTTCGAGTCATCCTCGTGAGGCGTCGAATAAATGGTCGAGTGGGCTCGTGGCGAGCCGTCTTTGACAAGAGGGTTGACTAGTACCGCGTTTCGAGTCGACATGAAGGAATATCGACTAGACGAGTCGGCTAAGTTGAAAGCCTTATTGGTCTTGGGCCGCCAATATGATTGGGGCATTGCATGTAGAAGTACACATGTCCGTTGCTAGCAAAGGGTTGCACTTAGGTGATTGAAAACATCATAGCAATATTATATGTAAGTATATATAAGTATACATTAATGATCATATCATACTATAATTATATATAGTATACATTAGAAATATATATGTAAATATATATTTAAAAAATATATATAAGTATACATTAATGACCATATTGTTATGGTGTTTTCAGTCTCAAAATTATGGCCATTTGCCATCAACGTACATGTGTCCCCGATATGCACCGTTCAATCGAATTGATGCTCAGGACTACCAGGATCCCGACCTAGCTGACTCGTTGAGTCGGCTTCTCCTTAGGTCAACTCGAAGGGCGGTACTTGTCGGTCCTCTTGTTAAAGATGACTCACTGTGAATCCACTCGATCAATTATTCGACACCTCGTTGGGTCGACTCGAAAGGCGTTACTTCTCGACACCCCCGTTACAACCCAAAAGACAACTTCAACCTCGAACCCTCCTCCCACTGACAACGTGTCGACGCTACATTAAATACTTGGTGGGGCGCCGTCGTTTCTCCATCCACCACACTATATATGACACATTCGACCACGCGTTCATGCGCCGCCTATCTATCTCATTAATGCTCGAATGACATAGCCTATCCCGACCGCTCTACGACCGACACTTGTAAAGTCGATAATGACTCAGCCGCTAGCTTAAGCTCGGTCAAAAAGAGTAGACTACCCCTCTTGCATGGCTATGAAAAGGAAAACTATTCCAAATACAAAGGTAAGCAATTTTCTCATTCTCCATTCCGCCGCACTTTTCATATTCTCACTCGAGCACATAGTTGACTTGATCGTCGGAGGAACAACGGGGGAACCAGTCTCCGTCCTCTTACAAATTGTTACACGTGCAGGAACAACACAACTCCAAATCAGATACTCGGAAAGTGAGCGGCCCCCATATCAACCCAATCCCTATTACCTTTTCTAAAAACTGGGGCATGCCGGGCCCGAGTCCAGCTTCACCATCTCAGCCTCGACCCGGACCCGGAGCTTGGCCGACCTAGCTTTTCCGAGCCTTATCTGGGCCCGAATCCCATTTGGACATCCTTATTGGCCAGTTGATCCCAATTCCTCAACAATTGCGTACAAACACCAAGTCCCATATGTTAACAAGTATTTTAGTCCTAAATATTGAAAAAGATATCGACTTTTCTTGAGATTTTGGTATTCTATTGTTAATAAGTAATTTAGTAGTTAATGTCAGAAAACCTTCTGCCTTCATGGCCAAGCCAGCAACAAAAAACAAGGTAGAAGAGGCCAAATATGAACAAGTATTTTAGCCCTAAATGTTGCAAAACATATGGAAGACTTCTTAGAGAATTTTGGTCTTTGATTATTAATTAGTAACTTAGTAGGCAATGCAATAACCTTTTGCCTTAATGGCCAAGCTAGCAAATAAACAAGGTACAAGAGACAAAATAAATCTCTAAAAAAACAAAACATCACAAGTTTAAAATGGAAACGCATACTTGCAAAAAATTAAACACATAATTAAATAAGACCAAGAGGTAACAATCAGCAAAGTAAGCCATTTCTCAGGGGGAAAACAAAAAAGAAGAAAATAAAGTTTAATTAGGGTGATCTCTATATTTAATATTTGCATATGAAAATAAATCCCTTTTACTAGTTGATTAATTTCTATTACATTTGATTTGTGCTGAAAACAAACTATTTTTTGCTTTATATAAATATTTCCTTAATTGGAAAATAAATGAGACTATTCGATCCTTTCATTTCACGAATACATTAAGCATAAAGAAATCATGGTTAATAGATTATCTTGAGATATTTCGTCACAATAACACATCATATATTTTCCCATCTGCAACATAAATTAGTTTCCTACTCCTTGCATGCATCTAATTTATGTTTATCTTTAAATTAGACATATTTGCTAAAAGTTACCTAAAGATTTTATTTTCCCCAAATGGCAAGGTGTAGGATCCATGGCAACAAAAAAATTAAAGACCAGGGGTCAGGACCGCACATTCGGAAAAGAAAGAGAGAAAGAAAGAATCGGATCCCTTAAAGCAACCCAACCCAAAACCCGCTATAAAAACAATCCTCAGCCCCCCGCCCTCATCAACAAAAAGGAAACTAGCGATAGAAATCACCTCAGCATCTAAAATCCCACGATCCAGAAAAAAAGAAAACCGCAGCATCGAGCTCCTGGCAATGGCGGCGGTTTCAGCATGGGCCAAACCTGGAAGCCTGGCCCTCGAATCGAGCACAAGAAAAATCCGCCCCGCCACGTCAGCCTATACAAGGCTACTCATCCTCACGACTCTCACCAGTCCTTCCTCCGCCTTCCCCTCCCTCTCCGCCGCCGCCGTCACCAAGATACCCAAGAAGAAGAAGAAGCAAACCCTAACCCTAGCTGAGTTCAACGCGGGAACCACCAAGTTCCAGCCTTCCTACAAAACCCTAGTACCGGTCGAGCTCCTCTCGCTTCCAACTGGTCCGCGAGAGAGATCTGAGGAGGAATTGCAGCGTCCTCGCGGGTTTGGGTACTTCAATGGTGGCGGGGGGCGCGGGGGCTCGTCTAGGGTTTCGGATGAGAACCCCGAGAAGGACTCATCGGGAACCGAGGCGAATTCCACCCCTTCTCGTGTGATGAGGTCGACGATTGGGTCGATGAGAATCTTGCGGCGGATTTTCGAGAGGAGGATTAGTATAGTAAAGAAGGGTTCTTTGAATTCACAGTCCAGAGTGATGAATCAGATAGCTGGATCTCGAAGAAGGGGACTGCGCCTCCGGTGAGCAGCGAGAGGAGGGAAATGAGAGGTTTTGATTTGTTTAATAGAGAGGGGATGAATGGAAATAGGGTGGATTCTGATAGTTGGGGGAAGAATAGGGAAGATAATGGTGGAAGCGGGAGGCCGAGGCTCGTGCTTCAGCCGAGAACTCTGCCGGTGGTTAATGGGTGTAATGGGGAGGAGAAGAAGGAGATAGAGTCAAAGAGGGAGGAGAGGAAGGAGATAGACACAAAGATTAAAGGGGCGAATCCTTTTGGAGAGGCGAGGCCGAGGGAGGAGGTTTTGAAGGAGAAGGGGAAGGATTGGAAGGAAATTGATGAGAAACTTGAGGCTGTGAAACTTCGGGAAGGGGGAAATCCTGCTGGAAGAAAAGGGTTTGAGGTGGGGAACGGGTTGAAGGAGGATCGAACTGAGAGGGCTTGGAGGACGCCAGAAGCCAGTGATGAGACCCCACCAACAAGGTTTGAATTTTGATTCTTGAAATATTGTTTTTTAGAGAATATATTTTCTTGATTTTGTTTTGGGGGTGTTTTTCTGTCTATTGATTTGTTAAAAGAGAGTACGGAGTGTTTTGACTTCCGGTTTGTTTGCTCGTGTCATAAACCTTCAGGTGATGCTGCTAATATCCAAATATGTGCAGCGTTTTCCTTCTTTTTTCTGCTTTTACAGTGTTGTTGCCTTCTTTTCCCTAATCCACCACATTTCTTATGTTTTTAAGTGTTTTGATATGTTAGAGATGTATATGCTATTTTGGGTTAACTTTCTCCTGTTTCAAGCTGAGTGTCATGTGAAAGTTTATTCAATTTTAAGTTTGTAATTTAACTAGTGCTACTTTTGCTATCACGTATGATACATTCTATTTGTAGTAATCATGTTTATGGTTGCCCTAAACTCTTCTTTTCAAGTTGTTTGAATGCCAATAGGAGAAACCATTGCTATGGTAAAAGCTTCAATAACAAACACCTTCGAATAAATTGGAGGACTATGACAAAATCCTCTCTAATTGACCGTTTGTGGAGGATTGGGAGGGATTGATGATGTTAAAGGTCTGCATGACTAAGAATAGGCGACAAACAAGAGAAAAATCCATGACCTCAACCGCCTTTATTCAGATGGAGAATAATTAGATGAATAGAAAATCTGAAAATTGAGACTTAAAAGAGAACACTTCCTCTAAAAGGTAATAAGTCGAACAAACTTCATAGTCCATATAATTGGATTATGGGCTGTAGGATGACAATTGATGAAGCTATGTCATGTGAACAACTATCAGGCATGGTGCTTCTGTTTCTTGGGTTTCTATTAGAAAATTTCCAGGGTTCTATGTTATTTCTATGTTGATGCATCCAATATCTTCACAGCTAAGGGTACTATAAGCTTCAAGATCAACTTCATATTGATAGTTTTGAGTGGATTCTCTGACTTTTTATGTAACATATATGGTGGCCTCTTTTGTGCAAATCATTTATCATAGGCATTATACGTATGTTCTTTTATTTTGAGAGTTTGCTGCATCCATATGCTGTATGTTGTTTGAGTTCGTTCTTCTTAGGTAACTATTAGCTTGTAGAATCGACCCCCACATGCCACCCTTGCACTTAAATATTTGGCAATAATATTACTTCTTCCATGTGTCCAAGTCTCTTTCCTAGTGGTCTCAAGATGTGTAATTGTATTCTTGAACCTTATGGAACTAAAGAAGTCAGCATTATGCATATGTGAGGAGATATGCAGGTCTTTTTAAACCTTCATGTGTCCTGGGGAGATCCTAGAGATCTTTAGGATTTTCATGGGAGCATTGCATGTGCCTAAACTGGGAATTTAGCCCTGTGGAAAATTCGGAGGTCTAAAGCCGGTTCAACTTTATCATATGGATAATAGCAACATGTTGCGTCCTGTGTCTGGGTGCTCTTTCTTGGGTTACAGAAAAATGCTTGAAATATTGCATCCTTTAGTCTTCAATAAAAGTTGGAAATTGATAAATAGCTGGTGCTTAGCTATATGTAATCTAAAGGCTGAAAGGATTGTCATCCTAACTGCTTAAGGTGCACTCCGAGTGACCTTTTTAATTCCCAATAAGAAAGAAAACAGTTGAATTTTATGACACTTCGAGTCAAAATGAATACCAAATTAAAAATTCTCACTCCATTGCAAATAAAACTGCAATATCTTTCCAGCATGTCATGTTTTTTTTAGTATGAAGTGGAATTGTGGAAAAATTAGTAATTGAAATTATAAGGATTTCATATTAAATTTTCAGTTGATTTAGCATATTTCGGGAATTGCTTCTAGATCAAAAAACAATAGAGAATTACATATTTAACTTAGTTGAAAAGAGCTAAATGTGTTTATTTTCTTCTTTGATGTCTGTCTTTATTAGTTTATTACAGTCCAAGGAACATGCGGAAAAGTGTATAAGGCCTCTAGTTTAGTGTCAGTTGGGGTTTGATTACAGATTGATTTTCGTTTTTTTAGAAAAGATTTCTGATGGTCACTATAGCTTTGTAATTTTCTTTTCAGACATTAAATGATCCTTTTCTTCTACATCTCTTTTTGTGAAGGTGCTGCCCCTATGTTCCAATTTTTCATTTTCTTTACCATCCATATGTTTAAATTTTCATGTTCCAGATGATCATGCTATTTTTGGCAATTTTCTTAGTTTTTTAAATGTGCATTTCTATGTGAAATGTATCAGTTTTATTCTAGTAGCTTGTCTATGCTTACCAGTATGTAATTATTTTTCCTATGATATATGACGTATTCTACTTTTCTATCATATATATATATATATACATATATATAAGTATTATTATTCATGGTTGTGTCATTCTTATTGTTTCTGATTCCATATTATTTGATATGCTGGTAGCAACAATTTTAGTGGTTGTAAAAGCCTCTCTGAGCAACCCTCTTGGAGGAATGAAAGGACTGACTAATGATTAAAGGACTGCACGATAAACAAGAGATAAATATGGAAAAAGTTGTGACCATCACCCGAGTCATCTCAACTCGTTGGGATGGTGATTAGATGGATACAAATGACAACCGTCGAGGCTTAGAAGAGTGAAAGATAATTTCTTTATTTGCCTACTTTCCCCTAAAATTTAGCGCTAGAAAGATAAATAATTGAAACTTTAGAAATCTTGCTGTAAGTAATAAATCAATTTGGCATACTGACAAATTTGCTTCCAGAAACTCAATTTATCCAACTAAGCCCATTTTTTGAATCATTGTTGATTTATCTACACTTCAGTTTTTGTTTGATTATGAATCAATGATTAATGGATTCATTGTAATCTATGTTACTTGGGTACTTGTAATCTGATGCTGTACCCGACCCGTACCCGTACCCGTACCCTTAGCCGTACCCAAACTCCTTGGACACTCCTTGCATATATGCATATATTTATTTGGGCATGTCCTCAATTATACAAAATACATGTTTTAGTTTAAAACACTAGTCATATTTTTTTTTGACATATATCCTATACCTTTACATCCACTTCTTGAATCTCATTGGACATAGGTCAAGTTGCGAATTGTGATTTTGAAGGGTCGTTTGGATGTGTAGTTCAAAAAAATGGTATTCCAATTTATAATCCACATAATAAAAGAAACATAAAAATGTTATAGGAATTTTAATTCTCATCCTTGTTCTCATATAAATTATTAGTTCCAATATATAATATATGTGTATATAAACATGTATATAGCAGTGTCCCCGTACCCTACCTTTTACAAATTTACCGTGCCCTATACCGGTACTTGTACCAATGCAGCATAGATTATAATCAATTTCTATGTTTAGTGCAGCTTTTTAAGTTTTTTTTTCCTTTCAAATATTAAATGCAAGTTCTCTTTTATATCTCTTTATGGGAAACTGCTGCCCTTCTGTTGTTACGCTAATTGTAGATGCTTCTCTCTTATGTCAATTTACTTGCTTTTCTGCTGTTATTACTCTAGAGACAATTCTACTCGCTTCTGCTGTATAAGAGCATCCATGAATTTATGTAGCTTGTATCAGATACATGAGCACAAAGGTAAGTAAGCAAAGCACAGATATGAGTGTTGGTTGGTCCTGTTGATCTGTCTGTATACAGACCTAACATAAATTCACTTTGGACCTATAATTTAGACCAATATGAGAAAAATGATTAAGCTGGGTCAGGGTCAGTTTGATTTTTGTCCATTTTAGAGTCTAGTCGTTCATTTTTTAACCATTTTTTTTCCTGATCTTCCTTGTCCGGTCGTGTTTTGTCATGCTAGAGCAATAAATAACACTATCAGCAAACATTTTCACCTCCAACTGAAGTTTACTCAAGCATATCCATGTCTATTTTTCTTGAGTATTCGATGATTGATTTTTTTATGCTTGTCCTAATAATATCAGTTTTTTTATTCAAGAAGCTGAAATTATTCTTCTCCTAAAAAAAGTTACACTATCCACTTACCTTTTCTGAGGAATAAAGTATACGTGTATATTCGTCTCATTTGTAATGAACTTTTTTTAATCCCAGTCTTTAAGTTTCTCAGTTTTGAATCTTCAAATTGAATTGTTATATTTGTCTAAGCTATGATGTTTGTTTGGTCAAATGTGTAGTTGTTGCAGCAAGCCTCATCCATTTGTTACATCCCCCGCGTAGTTGCTAGTGCATGTGATCTTGCCATGGATATTATTGTTTATAGAGCCATGTAAACTTAGGTTCAGCTAATCTGTAATTAATAATTCACTCTCTTAGATAAGTAGGTAATGAGGATGGACACGTTATGCCATTGTGATATTCGCTGATGATATAATTGATGTTTGTATATGACCTTATGTTGTATATATCCAGTTGACATTGCTTTAAGATTTTCAATTGGACCAATAACTATCAGCATTTTTTAGGAGATTGTTGGTAACTTTATTTGTTCACCCATTTAATGGTGAAATCCTTTACATACATGCAGCCATGCAGCACTTGTGTAGTACTCTATTGCTTGTTGTAGTGTGTATTAGGTGGCGTACGACTCAACACCATTGCATGTAATTCATTTGTTTCATCATATGATTATGCATGTCATAGTATTACAGTTGAAACCTATATGCATGATTCTATTTACTTGCACATTGCAATGTTTTGATGAAGACTGTTATCTAAATAAAATTATGTATCACTCTCAACAATGAATTTTGTAGAAGCTTTTTCTTAAGCAGTATGCATGTTCTAACTGCTGGTTACAATTTGTACTCACAGGGTTGAATCTGTGGAGGAGCAATTGCCTGAAAACTGAGATCCCTACAAATGACAGACGAACAATGAGCCTCAGTGAAAGCAATTCAAGCAAATGATGGAAGATTCTATTAATTATGGTTTTGATTACTCCAATGTCAATTTTGTGCTGGTGTTCTCACAGGATATCTGTGGTTTACTTATTGAGTTAGTTTTGTTAGATTAATTTCATAATTTGTAGACATAACAAAAGCAACTTGCACTTTTTTCCCCATGTGTTTTGACATTTTGTTCCGTCATTTTGTACTACAACATTTTTTTAATTTCTGTGATAATTATTTGGAACAAATTTGTGCTGATAATATTTCTCAAATATTGTTTAATTTAAATGTAATTTTATCAACATTATCAGTTTGCATAAAATTATCCGGTTTGTTGTTCCTTGGTTTCTCATCGAATTTGTTAGTCGGCAGTTCTATGTATGCTTGGCTTGGATGACGCTGGAATTTGTTACCTGGAGATTGCAGTTTGATGCCGATGTGCATTGAGTTATGCAGGGATCAACTCAAGAACTGAAACGGGTTGTAAGCGATGTCTTGCAATTTGTTGAAAGAATTGATTTTTACCATCACTGCGAGTTATTTGAGGTTTGCCTGAGAGATATATTGAAGCCTAGAATTGCTTGAGATGCTACTTAATGCCTTCGCAGTTAGCCGGTCACAAATTCATTCATACTCGAAAGACATTCTAGGAAACTGTGTCATTCTAGTGATCCAACTGTGGCAATCTCAACAAACTAGAGAGAAACTTTGTGCATGAGAAAGATGAAGATATTAGAATTGTTGTAGATAGCAAAGCGTAAGAAGAGCCCCGCTACAAATGAGGCAGCCACTTCAAACGGCCTGCGTGTAACTTAAAAAGTAGAAAGGGCCAGCAGAAACACATGCCTCGGCATTAATAACACAAATTATTTGGTAGGAAGATGAGAGTAATTCCCTTGCTCTAGCAATTCCTGCTCATAAATGCTCCCAACTGTCACCGTCAGAACAAGAACAATGTAAAGTCATTCAACTGCAGAGATCCTTTACAGTTGTTTAGACCAATTCAACTCCAATGAACTTGTTTTCCCCCAACCTTCACATGTAAAGTTGTAACATTGTACATACCAACTTATACCAGCTGATAACTATCGTTGCGGCTGCCTTTTAGCCCAAATAATGAAGCCAAGATCTTTGGTGAAGAAAAAACTTTAGATACAACTGAAAATTTTCCCATGCTAATAGTTACGATGGTATGCTACAGTTTTTATGATAGTGGTCGTGCTTCACATTTTAGCCAGAGAGCGTGTTCTGCTCCGCTCTTGGCTTCATCCGCATCTTGAATGTGATCGAATACGGAGAAAACTTATCATCTTTCCTCTTAAAAAGACCCTCTATTGTCTATAATTTTCTTTAATTCGTGGAATTAAAATACTAGGAGGGAGGGAGTTAAAAACAAGTCCGTAGATACTAATAAGACTTCGTTAAATCCTTCATGAAGATTTCCTCCATATCCCATCACATTCTGATGTAAATACCCACCCAGAGAAGGATGATAGTGATTTTGCATCAATACGTGGAATTGTCTTACGTTGCCTTCTGCTTTGACAATGCTATATGCAGCTATACGAAACTAAACGGTAGGGAAAATTATTCAGTGATCAGTATCCACTAGATTGTATGATAATCTTTGGACTAGTACACTAATTAATTTTCAAATTAACTATCTAGTAGAAATAAAACACCAAATAGGAGAGGGGAGCCGATCCTAGCCCGACTGTCGACAGTTCAGGATCCCATGAAGTATGGACACAAGATCTCAATTTTCAAACCTTCTGATGAGCTCCTCATCCCTTTACGCTGAGACAGTAAATAATAAATAGGGGCAGTTGGGCAGCGCACAAACTCCTCATTTACTGCTGCTGCCTATTTTCTTATATCTCCCCCTTCATTCCCACATTATTCCTACCTCCAACCCTCCTCTCTTTCTCCATTTATTTTTTTTAATACCTCCCAAACTCATAAAATCTCCCAGAGAGCTCAGTTCACAGCATTGGCACTCTCAATTTCAAATGGATCGTTCCAAGGGTTCCTTGCTTGCGGGAGCAACTATACTAATGCTATCACTAATAGCAACCGTGTCGAAAGTAGATGCCGACGCCATGGTGACTGGTATTGTCTTCTGTGATCAGTGCAAAGTTGGGGAGCGCAGCATTTTCGACTACCCACTCTACGGTACTGCTCTCTGCATCAACATCTAGCATACTGAGATGGAACTTGTATTGCTTGGTATTCAAATTCATATGTGCATCAGAGTTGAATGTGATTTCCTTATCAAATTTAAACCTGTAATGCTTGGTATTCAAATTTATATGTGCATTAGAGTTAAGTGTGATTTCCTTATCAAATTTAATCTTGTTATGCCTGGTATTCAAATTTTTATATGTGCATCAGAGTTAAATGTGATTTCCTTATCAAATTTATTCTCGTTAACCCGAATCTGTTCATCATCTAGAGAAGTTATTGGCCTGAACCTGGGGTTTATTGATAGTAAAGAATAACTGATCTCTGCTAAGATGAGAATAAACTGGAAATTTTGGTGAGTGAGACTTTCTGGTTTTATGTGGCAAATGATCAAGTCATAACTCCGGAATTAACCATGAAATGATCATAATGTTCGTCTGGAAAAGTTGGATGATTTTCAGCTGGTTCTCAAAATTCTACCAAGCTCCTCTCTCATCCCCAGTTTTCCTAGCTAAATTTTTTGACCTTACTTTAAGTTTTCCTAGCTAAAAATTTTGGCATTACCTAGCAAAGTACTGACATTAGTCACATGGATGGTTAAAGATTCATGAGATGATGCCCCGTGATTAATGCAGGAGCAAGGGTGGCTGTTGCTTGCATGGGTGCAAACGGGGCGATGGCAGCGTACAAAGAGGACACCACAAATTGGATGGGGGGCTACGCAATGCGGTTCCCAGGGAGCTCTGACCTCAGCCGATGCTACGCTCGGGTTATTAGGGGCCCATCAGGGTGCGGGTCAGCAGCAGGCCCGGCCCAAGGCCTCAATCTCATGTTCAGCATGTTAGGCATGCAAATGTATGCCGTAGAGCCACTCCTCTCTCAGCCCCAGCAACCAATGCCATTCTGTCCAAGATCATCTCCACCCTCTCCGGCTCGTGCAGCAATTCCTCCTCCCTCTCAATCTTTGCCTCCTCCGGCCCCACCAGTGGTCCCGGTACCGCCACCATCGCCGCCGCGAGCGGATTCACGTCCTCCCCGGGTTCCGTTCTTGGAGGCCTCAGCCTGCTCATATGAGTATGTTTCTATCTCTTCTCACTTTTAATTGATTGTTTGTGTTTTTAGGTTAGAAATGGGAAATGCGTGATATTTTCTGTTTTAGCGCTTGCGTTAGCTCAGTTGGATGTGATGGGCCGTGCTATATGTTTAAATTTGAAAAATTCTTTAAGGACCCAAAATATGGGACCAATAAGGGGGACAAGTGAGGTGTCCTCCTACTATTGGATAATGAGTTGGCCATTATTAATGATGACCAACTCATTATCTAATAGGAGGGGGACACTTCGCTTGTCCCATTTATTGGTCCTATATTTTGGGTCCTTGTAGCAAAACTCGTTCAAATTTAGGGGAGGTGGCAGGTGCCTCAGCGGCTAGCGAAAAAAAGTTTAAAGGGTACAGTTATAAATACTTGTTTCCTATTTATTCGGGTTATGCAGTGAAATCGTCTTGTTGCTGGGTGTTAGGCTGTTGAGGGCATGAATTGGTTCAGGGTTAAGCCCATTAATCAAAGAATTGAAATAAACTTTAGTTAAACTACTAAAGGCAATAAGATTTTAGCATGAAAATAAGTTAACCATCTAGGAGTAGAAACCAAATGCACGAATCTTACCGAATTGTTTCGGCTTGTTCTTTTCTATCTCAAGCCCATACGAGAAATTCGATGTATATGGCGCACTGTAAACATTTTTTTTTTCTTAATAGCAAATTTAAGGATGGAAAGCAATGTAATATGTTCTTGAGATTTCATATTCAATGTTTTCAAGATCTCAGATAAAAATAACGCCTTCCACCATACTGGACGCATTCCGCACATTCTTACTAGTCCTGCCCTAAAATCCAGGAAAATTCTCTGCAAATGATCTCATGACTCGGACATTCCGATTGCTCTTTTATTAACCTACATAAATCAAAAAGCTAGGGTCCCAAAATTCTGGAAGGAGCACTAATAAAGGTGCACTCATTACTCAAAACAACAAAAGGATTGCATGTGATACCTTTTTATTCATAGTTCGCCGTATGTCTAGTTGCATAGAAATATTAGGGAGCTGTTCTCACCCAAATATAGCACAAACAATACCATGATTCTCTTCCTTCTAGAGTTAATGGTTACGAAGTTTGGTGGGTGGCAACATAGGTCAAACAAGCCACTTAGGATAACGCATAAATTTAAGCAGTAGAAGAAAATAAGGCTAGGGCAGAAACTAGCCTCAAACGAGTAATTCCACCCAAAATGAAAGGAGAAAAATAATAACAATTCAAGAAAGCAATCTGTTTTTTTAAGTCAGGATTTACAAGTCAGATCCTTGTGCGCAATATCCAGAACTTCTGGAATTTACGAGCGAGTTTTTCTCTATTAAGATAGAAGTTCAGTAACACTGTTCACCGTGCGTGCATATGTGTGTGCATTAGCTTGTATCTTCATACGTGCATATGCCTGTTCATGTGTGTGTTTTCACAAGTCTATAGGTTCCATCCATATGTTATCTATGTCTATCTTCAAATTTGTGCAATCCTGTATGCATGCAACATATGTTTTAGCGTGTACAAAGTAGAAACCTGTGACTTGGGAAACTGAGAGGAATTTTCTCTTCTATATTGTGAGAATGTAACTATTTTCAGGTATAGACATATTTTCAGGTGAAGAAATATTTTCAGGTATAGAGGGTGTAGAAATATTTCTGACCATCAGCTATAGAAATATTTAGTCCCTCAATAACTGTGTCACTGATGAATACCTTTTGGCCTCTCCCGAAAAAAATTCCTTATAACAATTTTATTCCCCAACAAAAGTTATTTTAATCCTTTCTCAACATTATCATGTAAAATATCTTCTTCTTTAGCCTCCATTGCACGAATACTTTGATAAGCGAGATGCATCCATATTCGGTATGTATTTTTTCATACTTTGGTACTTGATGAACATTTGTTGAGTACTTTTGTCATATATCTAGGATCTATGACGTATATCAATATGTCAAAGATCTATTAGAGATACATGCAGGTTTAAGTAATCAAACTTCTAGTGAATGGATGTAGGTTAAAGATTTCACCTACCTTCCTGACATCGAAATCTTATATATTACCCGATTATTGTATACCACTATAACATTATCCGTGTTATATATACATTAATCATCACACTTAATTTCTACATCCATTATATATGGATACCCTGAATTTCAACATTCATGGTATCAGCGTACCTAGTTGTATACATATGTTGAGTCGTTAAAGGCTCTCTACATGAGGTTTGATGGCAGTTTTTGTGATTGGAGTGCACACTGAATTCAACACCGTTAATAGTTAGATAAACCAAGGGCTGCGCCAAAAACCCTATAAGAAGCTGCTCCGTAGATATTTACATGTAACAAGGCATACATGCTACATGACCTTATCGACTACTAACTATCCCTACAACTTTTTGATTGCTAGTAAGTGGATGATGCCGGAGTTCAAGTGCTACTGGAAGGTGGTGGGTCCAGACACCAAGGTTGCCGTAGCTTTCGGTCCTGTTGCAGCTGGGAAGTATGGCACAGACATGAGTTTGATGGAGGGACTGCATGGGCGGGGAGACACCTACCGCACGCTCCTTCGAGAAGCAACCACCTCCCTTCTCAACTCCTACAACAGCATTCGGTTCCCCTACCCAACAGTCAGTGTTATTTACCGTATGAACTGGGCTCTGCTAGGCTCTCCTCAGCAGGCACTAATGCAGGCTCTAAGGTTCAAAAGGGCAAATACCGGCGTTTCTGGGCAGACCACCTGCAAATTTATCCCTTGTTCTTGAGGAAAACCTTTTCCTATCTCGGCATTTGCACTTAGTATTCTTGATTCTGGTCACTGATATTGAATTGGCATTGTTACTTCGATACACCACACTCCTTTCTGCTGCATTATACTATTTTCCTTATAAGAATTATTTCTTGTGATACCCAGATGTTAAAAAGTATTGGCAAAAGTGTTATCATTATGTTGTACGGAGAATTATAAATTTCCTTCCTATCCAATTTCATGTATTGTTCTCTTTTATAGTTTTATGATTATTTGATATTAGAACCTTCTGTCTATTTTATCGTCTCTGCTAATACTGTCACTGTTTGTAAAAGAATCAACGGGTGATTCACCAAATCAAGCTAGTGCCAACCTGTAAATCAAACAAGGCAATGATCATGATTGTCAACCTTCCATTCCTAGACATTTTCCATTCAAAGATCAATTACATGTCTTCCTTATTTACATTGCTAGGAATCTGTAATTATGTAATTATGGATAGAGGAGTCCTTGAATCAAGCTATAGTGTAATTAGAATCTTTTGCAATTACCTGTAATCAATTTCTTTGTACCAAGTTTACAATATAAATTGAAGAGCTTGCAGCAGGAGAAAAATATCACTGCAATTCACCAAAATGTTCTTCGAGGTTTTTCATGGTATCAGAGCAGTAACGATTGATTGTTGACTGTAAACCTGGGCACCCTATCAACATGTTCAATAGCAACTCCCAATCACAATTGATCTCCACTGGTTCGAGCTCGAGCAACTCATCTACCAATCTTCTTCAGGCTGCGGCATCCTCTTCAGCAAATCAAATAACATCTCTCACCCTTCCCAACATCAGTCTGAAGTTAAATCGAGACAATTATCCAACTTGGGCACCCTTCATCCATCATGCCCTTGAGTGCTTTGATTTTGAGCACCTCGTCGACAAGGACGACACAGAGCCACCAAAATTTGTGGCACCGTCGTCAGAACCGAGTCCAGCAACCAAATACCTAGTGCCCAATCCACTGTCAATCCATTCTGGATTGAGGGGAAACGAAAGGACAAAACTGTCCTGCTGTGGATCAAATCACAGGCCCATCGACTGTGAGAGTCTCGGACACATTGCGAGTTCGAACTGTTGTTGCAAAGGTTGAGAAACGATGATCTAGACCATTGAGAATATAGAGAATCAGTTCTTGCTCCGGTACGACATGAAGGCTCATGGCCAATTGATCTGCGATTGACCTCTTCTTTTCTCAGAATGCAACTCTCGTCACTCACACAAGGGTCTCTTTCTGTTGTTGATTATGTAGAAAAGAAGAGGTCAATCGTAGATCAATTGGCCATGAGCCTTCATGTCGTACCGGAGCAAGAACTGATTCTCTATATTCCCAATGGTCTAGATCCTCATTTCTCAACCTTTGTAACAACAATTCGAACTCGCAATGTGTCCGAGACTCTCACAGTCGACGGGCTTCTTGGATTGCTCATTGAGGAAGAACAAAGCCAAGAGTCATCTCATCAACAACTTTTTCATGCAGCCCATGTTGCAGATTGATTGGGGGTGTTTTTTGGTGAGATTGATTGGGGGTGTTTTTTTGGTGTCGGCTCAGTTTTAGCAAAATGTTCGCCGAGGTGGAGATTTATAGGATTGGCTTCCGCAGCGCACAACATGCTCAACACCAGATCTTGAGTCCTACGACTCATCTCCACTATCCCTTCTACAAACTTCAAGCTACCGTCTAACCTCCCGACGTCCTATCAACTCACCTTCATCTTCTCCTCTTATGTCTCCCTCTCAGTCAGCCACTCACAAACCTTCCCCTTCATCCCTTGTCCTTGAGGAGCAAGCCACTGCACTAGAGTCTCCAGATCATACTGCTGCCCCCATTGCAGCACTCTCTCAGGCCTCCCTAACTCTCTCAACTCCGGCATGCTAACACTAAAACTCACCCTATGATTACCTGTGCCCAAACAAACTCCCTTCGCCCTCGAGCCTTTATCTCCACAAAACACCCCCTACATGCAACCTCACCCCCCTGAACTCAAAACACATGCTCAAGCCATTAAAGATCCTGAATGGTAGGCAGCAATGGACCATTAATATCAAGCCCTCACTCACAATAAGACTTGGCGGCTTGTCCCTGCCCCACCCGATGCTAATATCGTGGGTTGTAAGTGGGTCTTTCATATCAAAAGAAAGGCCGACGATACCTTTGAAAGGTATAAATCTCGCTTAGCGACCAAAGGTTTTCATCAGCAGCCTGGTGTGGACTTCTTTGAGACTTTCAGTCCAGTGCTCCCATGCTCCTATGTACATAGGAGCACTAGCCCATGCTCCTATGTACACTAGCCCATGCTCCTGCTCCTATGTACACTAGCCCATGCTCCTATGTCACTAGCTCATGCTCCTATGTACACTAGCTCATGCTCCTATGTCTCTCTCTCTTGGCTATAAATAGAAGGGAGGTTGAGAGGAGAAAGTGAGGGGAAAATCTTGTGTGGGTTTCTCTCTCTCTTGGCTATAAATAGAAGGGAGGTTGAGAGGAGAAAGTGAGGGGAAAATCTTGTGTGGGTTAAGTGAGGTTTGAAAGAAAAGAGAGAGTGAGGTTGAGAGGAGAAAGTGAGGGGAAAATCTTGTGTGGGTTAAGTGAGGTTTGAAAGAAAAGAGAGAGTGAGTTGAGAGAGAACTTGTAATAGTTTGGTATTCTCCTCATAGTAAAACCCCCCTCCCGTGGACGTAGGCAAGTTTGCCGAACCACGTAAATCTGTTGTCTCGTTTTTTACTGTGTGTTACCATAGCTTGTAGGTTCCCTTAATATTTCAGTCTTAGAACTGATGAGAGGAAGAGTGTATATTTTACTTTGATAAAATATATTACTTTCGATTCTTGTTTCCTTTGAGAAATAAGAATTTCACTATCTATTCTAGTTTCCTTTGAGAAACAAGAATATAGAGGTTGACTTGTGCTTTTGTGACAACAAAAGCCACGACTATCTCTCAGGTGATATCGCTTCCGTGGTGTAAGGGTGTGTCTCTGCGCCCAACAATTGGTATCAGAGCCCTTATTCAGATTGGCGGTGGTTGAGCTACTAATCTGAGGTGGTAGTTGATTATTGTGTGGTGAACACAATGTATTTATTAAAATTCTTGAGAGAAGCGGATTTACTAAAACAAGCGGAGAATGACGTCTACAAGTAAAACAGTTAAAGTTAGAAAGTACGAGATTAAAAAATTCAATGGAAAAATTGATTTTTTCTATTGGAGGATGCAGATGAAAAATTCATTGATTTCGCAAAAATTACACAAAGCTTTGGCGGGAAAAAAAAGCACAAGGATATGTCTGATGAGGATTAGGAGGAGATGGATCTGGAATACCGGGCGTCGATTATCCTTTGCCTTGAAAGGGATGTAGCTTTCTTGGTGGATGGAGAGGAAACAGCTGCGGGCGTGTGGTTAAAATTAGAAAGCACCTTCATGACGAAGAGTCTAACGAACCAGATCTATTTAAAATCTAAATTGTACACTTGCAAGATGGAGGAAGGCTCGTCAATCCGGGAGTACATCAACAAGTTCGATAGGATCTTATCGGATTTGAAAGACATTGAGGTGACAGTGAAAGACGAGTATCAGACACTTCTACTACTTCTATCTCAGCCGAAGTCTTATGAGAATCTGGTTCAAACACTGATGCTTGTGGGTAACAGTTTGTCGATTGATGAGACTAGAACGGCTCTTCTAGCGGATGATCTTTAAAAAATTGTAACTAGTGATATGGCCACTGGTGGTAACAAAGAACAAGCACAGATGTTTTTTTGCCAGAGGAATGAGCAATGAGCGAGGAAAAGGCAAGGGAGGAAAGTCTAGATCAAAATCAAGACCTCTTGCAGAAAGACCGTGTTTCAAATACGGTGAGTTAGGGCATTTTAAAATCAATTGTCCTAACAAGAGAGTAGGTGGGAAGAAGAACAACAACAAGACTGAAAGAAGAGAAGGCAAGGAAGAAGCGAGCTATGCTTCAGAGGAAGGGAGCGATAATGAATGCTATGTCGTCACGGGTGGCGAGGATACCTCCGGGAAGTGGATACTTGATTCTGGTTTCTCTTACCACATGTGTCCAAATAGGAAATGGTTTACTACCTACAGGAATATCGATGGTGGAACCGTATTGATGGGAAACAACCATGCTTGTAAAATAGTGGGGCTAGGTGATATCAAGATCAAGATGCATGATGGAGTGGTTCGAACCTTGACGGATATAAGGCACGTTCCCGATTTGCGAAAGAATCTTCTCTCAGTTGGTGCTTTGGACTCCGGGGGTTGTAAGATTGTAACAGAGAATGGAGTGAAGAAGGTTGTTCGAGGTTCCTTAACAGTGATGAAGGGTGTTCGTCACGGTAATCTATATACTCTCTTGGGTACGACGGTAACAGGAGATGCAGCGGTTGGAACTGATGGAAGTGGTGGAGACCCATGTGAGCACACACGGTTATAATATAGGCGGCTTGGGCACATGTCAGCGAAGGGTCTAGATCTGCTTGGTAAAGAGAGTTTGCTAAAGAATCTGAAGAAACCTTGCATGGATTTTTGCGAGGGTTGTGTAAATGGAAAGGAGCATAGGGTCTAGTTTCTGAGGAGCAAGCACAAGAGCAGAGGGATACTAGATTATGTGCACATGGATGTTTGGGGTCCGGCTTCGATAACTTCTAAGGGTAGTTCCAGATATTTTGTCTCATTCATAGATGATCATTCGAGATATGTTTGGATTTATTTTCTGAAGCATAAGAATGAGGTATTTGAGACATTCAAGAAGTGGAAGGCGATGGTTGAGAACAGGACAAGAAAAAAATTAAAGACATTGAGATCTGACAACGGTACAGAGTATACAGATAGTACCTTCAAGGAGTTCTGTGATCAAGAGGGGATTGCTAGACACTGGACAGTTAAATCTACACCACAGCAAAATAGGGTCGCGGAGAGACTGAACCGAACACTGTGGGAGAAAGCAGTGAGTATGCGATCTTATGCCGGTTTGGGCAAAGAATGGTGGGCAGAGTCGATTGCTACAACTTGCTATATTATGAATCAATCACCACATTCTACATTAGATGGTGATACACCCTATCGGGTGTGGTCATGGGAGCATGCAGATTATGAGAGGCTCCGAATTTTTGGGTGTACCGCCTACTATCACGTCAACGAGGGAAATCTTGATGCGAGGGCCAAGAAGACAATTTTCTTGGGGTATGCAAAGAGTGTAAAAGGCTATCA